GCAAGACTAAAGCAGTTAAGCTAGATATGGTGACTGCTACAGTTATTACAGCGGTCACTGTCAGTTTGACCCCTGAGAGGGACGTTTCAGTTGAGAGAAATGTCCGCACCAGATTGCCTTGTGTGTGTGATTATGGTGCTTGTCTTGATTGTTAATTGATTTAGGAGGGCCCAGCCCATCGTGGGTAATACCATTCCCTAGGCAGGTGGTCCTGGGTCCGTGTATGAAGTTTGGTCCCGGCAGCATCCTCCATGGTTCCTGCTTCAGATTCTTGCTTGAGTTTCTGCCCTGACTTCCTTCAATGTTGGGTTTGCGGACTCCTACACTTTCTCCTCTTCATCACCTCTAGTCAGGGTGTTTTATCACAGCCTCAGGTAGGAAACTAGGACACGTGACTGACTGACTCAAGGTTGATGCAAAAGCAGCTGGAAGCTCAGCTCAGCTCCAACACTCAACAAAACTGCGTTGTGTTTGAAGAGGTTGAATCACACGAGGAATCAAAAGACAAGAGGAAGCTTTGAGAAGGTGTGGATATGTGTTTGTGGGGTAGGCTGTGGCGACGGTCGGTCTCTTCTTTCGGACTCTTCAGGCTATATCTAAGTGTATATAGCGTTTATTGTTGCTCACAGAGTTTCACGATGTTGTTCACAATGTTGAACTTCTGGGCTTATGTAATTCTCCTATATCAGCTTCCTGAGAGGTGGGTTTATAAATGTCTACATCACTGTATAGCCTCAGGTTTACTGTTTCGCTGGCTGTACCCATCATGGTCTTGACCTCTTTGCTCATATTCTCATTCCTCCCACTCTTCAGCTGGACCTTGGGAGCTCAGTCTGGTGCTCCACTGTGGGTTTCTACCTCTGTTTCCATCAGTTGCTGGATGAAGGTTCTATGGTGACATTCAAGATATTCATATGATCTTGACCATAGGGAAAGGCCAGTTCAGGCACCCTCTCCTCTATTGCTTAGGGTCTTAGCTGAGGTCATCCTTGTAGATTCCTGGGAATTTCTCTAGTGTCAGGTTTCTTGCTAGTTCCATAATGGCTCCCTCAATTAAAATATCTCTCTCCTTGCTCTCATCTCTGCCCTTCCTCCATCTCGACTATCCTGATCCCTCAAGTTCTCCTCCCCCTCCCCTTCTCCCTTCCACTTCCCTTTTTCCCTCCCTACTCCCCCTACCCCCATGCTCCCAATTTTGTCTGGCTATTTTGTCTCTTTCCCCTTTCTAGGTGGATCTATGTATGTTTTTCTTAGGGTTCACCTTGTTACTTATCTTCTTTAGGATCAATATCCTTTGCGTTACTGCACCGATGAGTGAGTATATACCACGTTTGCCTTTCTGGGTCTGGGTTACCTCAGTCAGGATAGGATCTTCTGGTTCCATCCATTTGCAGGCAAAATTCAAGATGTCATTTGTTTTTTTTTTTTAACCTCTGAGTGCTTCTCTAATGTGTAAATGTGCCACATTTTCTTTATCCATTCTTCAGTTGAGAGGCATCTAGAGCTCACCAACTCCAGTCAGACAGGGAAGGAACCAGCATAGGCCCAAACTAGTTCTCTGAATGTGGGTGACAGTTGTATGGCTGGGGTAGAAAGAAGGGGCCACTGTCAGTGGCACCAGGATTTATCCCTACAGCTTGTACTGGCTTTTTGGGAACCTGTTCTCTTTGGATGCATACCTTGCTCAGCCTGGAAATAGTGGGGCGGGCCTCGGACCTTCCCCAAAGCAATGTGCCTTACCCTCTCTGAGGAGTGGATAGGGGTTGTTGGGTGGGGGACTATAAGGAGGGAATGGGAGTGGGAACTAGGATTGGTATGTAAAATGGGGAAAGATGGTTTGTTTTCCTTTTTTAAAAAAATTTTTAAAAGTGAAGAAAAGAAGATGTGCAGCCTCTTTAAAAAGATTTTATGGGGTCTGGGACTCCACAAGAACATGATTCATAGAATCAATCGACTGGGACTCGCTGGGGTTTGGAGAAATCAGGAGCCCATAGGGGTCTGACCTAGGTCTTCTGCATATATTATGGCTGAGTAGCTTGGTGTTCTTTTGGGACTCCTAACATTGGGAGCAGGGGCTGTCTCTGACTCTTGTCTGCTTTTGGGACCCCTTCCTCCTACTGGGTTGCTTCATCAAGCTTTAATACAAGAGGATGTGCCTAGTCTTACCGCAACTTGATATGCCATGTTTGGTTGCTATCCTTGTATAGCCTGCCGTTTTCTGAAGGGAAACAGAGAAGTGGATCTGGGAAGGAGGGAGAGAGGCTGGGGGGTGGAGGAGGGGAGGGGAAACAGATCAGGATGTAATATATGAGAGAAGAAAATTTTTAAAAGATTTTTGTTTATTTGCTTGTCTTTTTGAGACAGGGTTTCTCTATGTAACAGCTATCCTGAAACTTGCTTTGTAGACCAGGCTGGCCTTGAACTCAGAGAAATCCACCTGCTTCTCCCTCTTGAGTGCTGGGATAAAGGCATGCTCCCCCACCCCACCAAATTTTATTTTTTATTATTTTTGAATTTTTTTGTTGTTGTCTTATTTTGTTTCTGTTTTTGTTTTTTGTTTTTTGAGACAGGGTTTCTGTGTGTAGCTTTGGAATCTGTCCTGGAACTTGCTGTGTTGACCAGGCTGGCCTTGAACTCACAGAGATCTGTCTGCCCCCTGAGTGCTGGGATTAAAGATGTGTGCCACTACGGCCTGGCTATTTATTATTATTATTTGTATGTGTGTGTTCATGAATGTAGCTTTGGGCACATAAGTACAGTGCTTGAGGAAGTCAGAAGAAGCCTAAGATCCCCTGGAATTACACAGGGCAAAGTGGATGCCGAGACGAGAACTCACGTCTTCTACAAGAATAGTAGGTCGTCTTAAGCACTGAGCCATCTCCAGCTCACCCCGACCCCTTATTTGAGATGGAGTCCTATGTAGGACTAGGCTGTTTTCAAATTTCCTATGTAACTGAGGATGGCCTTAAACTTCCGATCCTCCTGCCATCCCCTTCTGAGTGCTGAGATCACAGGTGTGATCCTTCACACCTGGTCCATGAGGAACCCGGGGTTCCGTGTGCTCTAGGCCAGCCCTCCATCAGCTGAGCTATAGCCCCAGCGCTGTGCCGATGTCAATCCTATCTCAGGGAAAGGGCTGGGAAGAGCAGCTGAAATGTGTCATCTATATGCTTTGCATGTTTTGGTGAAACTAGGCAGGGCTTCTGGGCACACTAGGGACATGCAGCCGAGCCGTTGAGGGTTGGTGACCTGTATCGGTGATGTCCTCTCTGAGGTTCCCTGTGAGGCAGCAGCAGTCTCCCCACCTGACCTGGCTCCAGACTCCTCCCGATGGCTCTAATGCATTCTCTGGCCCTGTTCCACGCTCTCCGGCTTCACTTCCCGGGCCAGTGCTCCTGGCTGCTCTTGTGTGGTGCCACCCACCCTCTGGCACTCCAATCTGTGGCTGTCCTTTCAGACCCGTCCACTCCCTGGCATCATACTGTGAGCTCAGTCCATCTGTGCTTCCAGGCGCTGTGTGCGTACCAAACTCTCGGCTCACATGGCCAAACTGTCTAGAATCTTCCTCCCTGTATGAACTATTTATTTGCACTCAGGAAGTCGAACCCAGGTCACCCTGGAGCTCTTCCCCCTTGCTTAGAGTTTGCAGCCAACATGTCGCACACAGTAGCATTTGCCAAGTGTCTCCAAAATGGCTCCCTCCTGCTCTCATTTTCAGACCATTAGGACAGTCTCCTAACCTCGGTCTCACATGATTTCATGCAGACCTGTGGTCACACTTTTTTTGCAAGAGCAGTCTGTGCCTGCTAGAGAGTCTGAACTCCTCACTGTGTACTGCAGGCCTTGGATAACCTGACCTTACACTGTCTCCCATGTCGTCACCTCTGCCTATTCCCTAGTGCCCTCCCATCCTCGCCTGCACTCCAGGGGGACAAACCCACCAGAGTTTCTGCAGCCAGCACACCTGCCTGCCTTGCCCTTAGAGCAGAAGCACCCAAGGTGAACTCAAGAGGCACTGCAAGGTGCGGTTCACCCCTGCTCAGTTTTGGTTCCCTGGATCCAACTACTGTTTGCGACAGATAGCGTAGCAAAGTCCACATTGAACTGTTTTACTCATTTGAAAAATGAGTAAATTTCATAACCCTTCCCTACCAACTCCTCTTTCCAAGTTTAAGCAGCTGGTTTGTCCTTAAAAAAAAAAAAAGAATAAGCTGGGTGTGGTGGCACACGTGTCTTTAGTTCCAGCATTCCTAAGGCGGAGGCAGGTGGATTTCTGTGAGTTCCAGGCAAGCCAGGGTTATATAGTGAGACCCTGTCCCAACAAAAAAGGAGAGGGCAAAGCTGGAGAGATGGCTCAGCTGTTGAAGGACTGGCTGCCTTTCCAGAGGACCAGGGCTTGATTCTCATCGCCCATATGGCAGTTCCTAACTGCCTGTAACTCTGAATTCAGGGACATGGTACACTTACATACACACAGGCAAAGTACCCATATACATTTTAAAAAAGAATGCATTTTTTATTTATTGTGTATGTATCCGAAGGTGTTTCAGTTGTCTAGAAAGGGTTTCTGATCCCCAGGAGCTAGAGTTTTGCCTGTGGGTGCTGGGAACCAAACTCTAGCAAGTGCTCTTAACTACAGAGCCATCTCTTCTGCTCGTGTGTGTGTGTGTGTGTGTGTGTGTGTGTGTGTGTGTTTCACCTGTCAGCTTTTGGCATCGAGACATTTTCCTTTGTAATGAAGCATCAATTATATATAGAAGTTATGTGTCTAAAGGAAAGAGAGAGCAGGGATGAATGGGTTGCAGATCCTAACTCTGGACCACGCTCGCACCAAATTTGGTAATGTTGATGTAACACTCTCAACAGAAAAGCCCCCGCGTGTCATCATGGAAAATGTTGGAACTGCTTTCCTGGATAGGTGAATGGTGCGGAGGGCTGCTCCCTGGAGCTGGTGGCTGGAAAGAGACAATAAACTCCCCTCTCTCTCTCTTTTCAAACAGGATCAGTTTGACAACTTAGAAAAACACACACAGTGGGGAATCGACATTCTTGAAAAGTACATCAAGTTTGTCAAGGAGAGGACTGACATTGAGCTCAGCTATGCCAAGCAGCTCAGGTAAGGTTGCGGCTGTGGCCCTGCAAATACGAGAAAGAAAGGCTCGTTTCTCTTTTTTATTAAATTTTTTTATTATATTTATTTATTTGTAGGGCAGGGGAATGTATGTGCCAAGCACTTGTGTGGTGGTCAGAGCACAAGGAGTTGGTTTTCTCTTCCTCTGTAGAGTGAGGCCCGGGGATTGAACTCAGATCATCAGGCTTGGTGGCAAGCCCTTTTTCCCCTCCACTCCTCCCTCAACATATGCTGCTTGCTAGCCAGATGCAAACTTGATTTCTATTCTCATTTCACAGTGTGTGCATGTGCGTGTGTGTATGTAACCTTTGCTTCTAAAGTAATGTGTCACTGGAAAGGATTGTTTTTTAGTATATAGAAAATTGATTTTTCATAAGACAGTAAAAATAAAGAATGAAGCTTGTACTTGAGTTTGTGGCAAGGTCTCTGTAACCCAGGCTACCCTTGGGTTCACTATACAGTGAAGGCTGGCCTGAGCTCCTGGTCCTCCTGCGTCCACCTCCTGAGAGCTGGGATTGCAGGTGTGTGCCTGCAATCCTGTTTCGTTGTGTTTTCTTTTGCTCTGTGTTGTTCTGGCTTGTTTTGCAGTCCTTCTCTTTAAAGTCGGGGTCTTGGGCCTCTAGGAAAACCCCCACTTTTACCCTACCCTTCACCCATCACCCTGGCCTCTGCACCCAGCCTCTAGGCCTGGGTCTTTGTTTTCTTTTAGTGAATTTTGGAGAAGTTTGGCTATCAGTAACTTCATATTGGAATATACATGTGCACAGAGAAGCAAGGAACCCACATGTAAGGCTCTCTACTAGCCCTCGCTTGCCATGGCTGTCATGGATCAGCAGCGCCTGCCATGAGTTTCCTGTAGGTGTGCGCATTGGCTCTGATCCCTTAAAAGTCAGACTTTGCAGGCGGTGGTGGCGCACGCCTTTAATCCCAGCACTCAGAGGCAGGTGGATTTCTGTGAGTTCGGGACCAGCCTGGTCTACAGAGTGAGTTCGAGGACAGTCAGGGCTACACAGAGAAACCCTGTCCCTAAAAATAAAAAGACACAAAACTCTGACTTCCTTTGCCCCACACTGGTTTGCTGCCCTGCGGTCGTTTGCTTATATTTCCCTGCTCCCTGTTTTCCTGAGTGGGCATCACGGCTCTCTTGTCACTCAGCAGCTGGTTGTTTCCCCTCGTGCTGGGCTCCTTTTTATGCTATTAAATTTTAATTACATTATTTGTTGATTGTGTGTGTGTGAATGGAGAAGGTGGAAATACCACTGCCAGCATCCTGTGAGGTCAGAGGACAACTTTGTGTTCCCTCCACCGAGTGGGCTTCTGGGATTGAACTCAAGCCACAGGCTTGGCACCAATGCCTTGGCCTGCTGAGCCCTCTCCCAGCCCTCACAGGCCACTGGTGCACATCTGACTGTTTTCTTCTTTAGTGCAGGATTGCACTGGGGCTCACTCACAGAGTGTACCTCTGCCTGGCTTTAGCAGTACTTGAACTAGTGGACATTCTCACTGTTTCGTTCTCCAGCAGGTGTGTGGGGTCCCCGGGAGCAGATCTGGAAAGAACTGTGTTGGGGGTTTTAGGGTTGAAACCCAGGCCCAGGCATCTCCCACAAGCTAGTCCCGGCCACTTGTCCCAACACACCCATTAAAGAGTCGAGTGGGAGTAAAAAGCAGAGAAAGGATCTTTACTTGGTGTGGCCACATTGGGGAGAGGAACAGAGAGGTCCGGTGACCTCCAAGTCCATCTATGGGTCCTGGCGGCCCGGTGTTTAAATGAAAAGCAGGAAGTGCACAGGGTAAGCAGTCCTGACCCATCACTGGTCTGTTCATGTCGATGTTCTAGCTCTAGTGTGTCCTACAAGGTGGTCCGATAAGTTGTCAAAAGTTTGTGACATCTCAATACCAGTCTTCAACCTATGCATGAGTGTGGATGTATGAGTGTGTGTGTCTAGGAGTATGTATGTATGAGTGAATGTGTATGTGAGTGTGTATAGGAGTGTGTGTGTGAAAGTGTGTGAAGGAGTGTGTGTTTGTGTGTATGAATGTGTGTAGGAGTGTGTGCAGAAGTATGTTGTTCATGTGTAGGACTACGTGTGTGTGTGTGTATGCATGCATGAATGTGTGTACACGTGTATAGGAATATGCATTCCACAGCACAAATGTAGAGGTCAGAGACAACTCCGTGGATCCAGTCTCCCTTCCATTCTTATTTGCATGTTCCAGAGTTCAAACTCAGGCCACCAGGCTTATGCAGCAAACTTCTTAACCCACTGAACCATCTTGCTGGCCTGGATCAACCCAACTTTAGCTTTTTTCTTGCTTCATAATAAAATTCCTTTAATTTATATTTATATAAATTATGTTTATATAAATAATATAAATAATTTATAATTTATAGTATTTTAATAATAAAATTGGGAGATTTTAGTTGGAGGCCACTGTCAGAAAGGAATGGCACAAAAAAATTAAAAAAGGAAGGAATGGCACAAGCTATCCCCTCTCCTTCTGGGGAGCTGTGAGCTTTCCTAAACCTTTCGATTTATCTGGGAAATTTGTTTGGGATATAAACTATTTTCAACTTGTCGCTAAAGGGCTGGGGACGTGGCCGGTACAGGGCTTGCCTAAGCACACAGGAGCTCTAGGATCCATCCTCAGCGTGATGTGAACTGGGTGTGGTGGTACAGGCACTTGGGGTGGAGGCAGACCAGGAGTTCAAGGTCATCCTCAGTTGTTACAATCTAGGATGCCACAAGGTTATCATTTTTGCTTAAATAAGCATCTCAGTACTAGCTGTGGAAAACTCTTAGCATGACACATTTTGTTTACATTGATTAGCTGGAATGCAGAAACCAGGAAAGTATGTTTTCTACTAGCTGAATCCGGGTCAGTTTCTAGAACCCCACAAAGGTCTGGGTCTTACTAGCAAATGACTGCTTCCCATTGGTTAGTCCTGAAACGTTGTCATTCGTGTGAAAATGGGTTACACTGCCTGACTAAGCACTTGAGAGGCAGAAGAAGGTGGATCTCTGTGAGTTCAAGTCTAGTGGAAGGAGATAACTGACTCCGTGTCTCCAGGGAGGGAGGGAGGAAAAGACAGAGAGGTTGTGCTCCACCACAGCCTAGTCATGGGTCTTCCCTCGGGGTCTTGCTCAGCTTCATGTCTTCATTTCTCTTTGGTTTCTTCCTGGTGCCTTGGTCCTTTTCACCGTGTGCTGTGGAGGTCCGTCTGCAGCTTTGGTGGGCATGGAAATGGCCCTTTGTCCACCTTGGAAGCATCTTCCTTCCCTGGAGACCAAATGATGCCAGTCTCTTGGGTTCCTCCCACACCACTGATTTTTATCCTTGCTCTTAATGTTGCTATGTGCAGCATCCAGTTCCTGTTTCTTTCGCCCCAGTCTGTGCTCTCTCCTTGACCCCCAACGGTATTAGGCTTTAGCACCTATGGGTGTAGCAATCACTCCCTCCCAACCGTGTCTCTCCAAGCTGTTTCCATCTCTCCCAGACTCCGGAAGCGGCTTACGGAAGCTCACTGAGATTTCTGACCAATGCCTGCATCCACACATGTCTGAAAGCACTGGCTCAGGTTCCACCTCTCCACCTCTCCTGTGACTGTGTGTCCCTCCCCACCCCCTCTTACCCCCGACTTAGGGCAGACCTTCCAGAGTCCTGTTAGTGTTGTCTCACCTCCCTCACCAAGCCATCAGGACAGACCAACCATCTACTCTACTCCCCATTCTGATCCAGGATCTGGCCCCTGCTCGTTGGCACCATGCTACCCCTGAGTCACCACTGTCTCTTGCCTGACCCATTGAGTCGCCTTACTGTTCCCTGTCTGCTGTCTTTCTGCGAAGCAGTCACATTAGTTCCTCAGCAGTTCCCCATTTCTTTCTGACTAAGTCTCTCTCCAAAGTTCTTCTGGAAAATGCCTAGAAGCCTTGCGTGCCTGGGCTCTCCTCCGGCCATGCCGTTTTCCTTTTTAAACATGGTCGATGCCTGCATGGCCTTGGTGGGAAAGGCTGGGGCCAGCCAGAGCATGTTCCTTGTGGAAAACTTGACCTTTCTGAGTCAGTCCGTGCAGTGTGACCCTGCACCCGAGCTCTGTTTGGATGCTAAGCGTGCTCTCCAGTTATGTTCCTGCTTTGGCGCTGTGGCTACCTGGCTCCTTTCTTGTGGAATTTGTAAATAAAGCCTGGTGTGTCTCTTCATTCACCACTGGTGTGATGCCCGAGTCTAGCATCGCTCCTCCCATCCCGCTCAGCTCTGCCGGCTCCATCCCCTCTATTGCTGTGCTGGATTATGTTTCAGGTTTGTCATTAGTGTGAAGTACTCCGGGGAGGGGGCGGGCGAGTTGCTTGCTTTTGTGGTGTGCTTTTCATTTTCCTCCAGGTTGGTTGGGTTTCCTCCACTTTCCTCCTTCCCTTCTCCTTCCTGCAGTGCCTGGCCATTCTTTTCCCATTGGGTCTGCTTGACTTGGAGAGTTTGGCAACGTGGCCGAGCTCATCTTCTAGGTCCCCAGTGTTGGGGAGGTGGTCCTGTGCTTGCTTCACAGGATTTGATTTGGAGCACATCATTCTCTGGGATTCGTCTTCTTCAACTGTAAAATCTGAATAGTGAGAAGTTCTGCCTTCTGAAGGTGTTGAGTGACTTTTCTCGTCGCTGTGACCAATAGGAAGGAAGGGTTTGTTTGTGCTCACAGTTTAGGGGGACACAGTCCATCATGGTGGCAGAGCTTGCTGCAGCTGGTTACGGTGTGGCTGCAGTCAGGAAACAAAGAGGTGAATGCTGGTGCCAGAGTCACTTTTCCTTCAGTCTGGGCCCCCAGCCCATGGCACGGTGCTGCCCACATACGGAGTGCCTCCTCCATTAAACCCCCCTGGAAGCGCCCTCCCAGATGCACTCAGGGGTGTACTTACTCCATGGTGACTCTACCTCAGGTCATGCTGACCATGAGGATTACCTGTCACAAGGACCGAAGGAGATGAGGTTGAGCGCCTTTCAGCTGACTCCCGGCACACCCATCGTATGCTGATGGCCCTAGAAGTGACTGCCCCTTGGGATTTTTTTTTATTCAGATGCTGAAACCGAAGGGCTTGCTGTGTGCTTTGCCTGGAGGCTGGGCACAGCTCTCCGAGAGACGGCTGGGGAAGGGGTCTGACTTAGGGATTCTGAGTTACTGTCTGTCCTGAAACTCCTTGGCTGTGGACTGAGTCGTTCAGGAGAAGTGGCCTTGCTCCTGTGGAATCCCTGGGTTTATGAGGCTTCTGCATGCCTGCAGCTTAAGGCCTGAGGAGTGGAGAGCAGAGGCTAGTCCACATTTTGCCCACGTCTTCAGAGTTCACAGATGGGAAGGGGGAACATGGATATTGTCATGGCAGCTCCCCTGTTCCTGAGTGTGTCCTCCCTGTTCGGTTTGCTTCTGTCTGAACTGACTCAGGGCTGTGGCCTTACTTCCCTTCTTGTGACCAGGTGGGTGGAATCAGCACCTGTTCTAAGCTGCCTCCAAATCATGCATCTCTGTTCTTTATCCCTTTCCAGTGTGTGGACCAAGGGTAGGCATCTCGCTGCAGTTGTTTATTGTCTAATAATGCAAACCTTCCCGTCCACCGTCTGTCTGTCTCTCTGTCTCTCTGAAATTTCTGTATCACTGAACTACATCCTGGTTTTATATACATATGTATTGGTTTTTCGAGACAGGATTTCTCTGTGTAGCTTTGGAGCCTGTCCTGAAACTCTCTCTGTAGACCAGTCCTGAAACTCTCTCTGTAGACCAGGCTGGCCTCGAACTCACAGAGATCTGTCTGTCTCTGCCTCCTGAGTGCTGGGATTAAAGGTATCCACCACCACCACCCAGCCATCTTATATTTTTTATTTGAGACATAAAAGCCCTGGTTAACTTTGAACTGACTCCACAGTCCAGTCAGGCCTTGAATTTAGGATCCACTTGCCTGGACCTCCTAAGTAGCTGGGATTACAGTTCAGTGCCTCCAGCCAGGGTCCTGGTCACCTTCTATGCAGTCCTTTTCCTTTGTTGGGAAAGCACCCTTCTCCTGCCACCGTCATCCAGATATCTTATGGTTCAGAAAAATAAAAGGAAGAACAGCCCAAACATTCCTGGGCTCCACCCTGGGCATCCCGGTTCAGAGCACCTGGAAAGGGGCCCAAAGATCCACTTTGAAAGTCTTCCCGTGGTTCATAGCGTTGGCCAGGCCTCAGCCAGCAGCCTCATGAACTCCTAGTCTCCTTCTCGTTAGTCTACCTAAGAGCTGGTTTCACGCAGGATGCACACTTTGTTCCTCAGCGGATCCCATCAATGTGAAAGTGATGTTTTAAGGACTTCCCTGAACGCTTGTTTTTGTTTAAAAAACAAAACAAACAAAAAAGTTTAATACAAGGCCAGGAAGCCTATCCCTAGACAAGGGGTTGGGAAGGGTTTATAGAGAAAAGAACCTCGGACTTGGAGCTTTGGAGCTGCCTCAGTGGGTAAGAATGCACGTTGGTCAAGCATGAGGTTGTGAGTTCAAATCCCCAGCACCCACAAAAATAGCTGGGCATGGCCTTTTATGCCTATAGTTTTAGAGCTGCAAGGCGTGGAGACTTTACGGTCACTGAGACTTGCTGACTGCCAGCTTGGCTCCAGCTTTTCTGTCTCAAGGAAACAAGGCAGAGAGAGGGAGCTCAGGACCCTGGCTGCTGCTCTCTGCATGTGTGTATGGACGCTTGGATGCGAATATACCACACATCACACACACCTTCGCTCAGACTTTTGCAAAAAAAGTTGGGGACGGGCGTGGTGGCGCATGCTTTTAATCCCAGCATGCAGAAGGCAAAGGCAGGTGGATCTCTGTGAGTTCGAGGCCAGCTTGGTCTACATAAAGTGTTCCAGGCCAGCCAGGGCTACATAGGGTCTCAACAGAATATCGCTCATGACAGATCTTTGTCCTTACTTAGGAACTGATGGTAAAGGGGGATCTTCACGCTTGTGGTTGCCCACAATGGCACACATTCTTAGTTCTAGCAATCTGGAGACAGAAGCAAGCAAATCTCTGAGTCTGAGGCTATCCTGGCTACATACTGAATCCCAGGGGGAAAAAAATACCCTTTTTAGCAGGGCTTAATGACCCAGGCTATCATCCCAGTACTCAGGAACCTGAGGCAGGAGAATCATCACAAATTCAAGGCCAACCTGGACTACAGAATAAGCCTTAAAATTTTATCTGTTTGTTTGTTTATGGGGGGGAGCTACAGTGCACATATGGAGGTCAGAGGTCAACCTGTGGGAATCAGTTCTCTCCTTCCACCTTCCACGGGGCGGGTGCTGGGTACCAAACTCATGTCATCAGACCTGATGGCCACTGAGCCCTCTTGCTGGCCCTTAGGAGCAGCCCTTACCGCATGTAGTAGGTTCAGCTTCCCTCAGTTCCATGTAGCATGGAAATTATTTTTATGGCTGTGCAGGTCTGGAAGCTAAAGAAAATGTGGATTTAAATAAGTGACTTTGTTTAACATCACAGTTTTGAGAATTTTTATGTGAGGTGTTTGCACTTTAAAAGTTATGGCTAGCAAAGGAACGGTTACTATTTCAAACTGCACTAAAAATACCTGGAGGGTAGCCACGGGACTCTTCAGTGTGCCTAGCTCCCACACACAAAAGAATCCATGTTCACCCTGCCCACTCTGATTGTCCCCTCCAAGCTGGCTCTGCAGTAGCTTTGTCCCCTCCAGCCTGGCTCTGCAGTGACTTTGTCCCCTCCAGCCT